AAAAAAAAAAAAAAAAAAAAAAAAAAAAAAAAAACTGAGCCGAGTCTATTTTAGACCAACAATAAAACAAAAGCATATATCAAGTAACATTTGACAAATAGTAATTTAAAAATTTCCCGCGAAAAAGTGACATAGAAAAGAAAACCTTCCTTGATTAAGGACAAAAGCATGATTGATTAGTACTCTCGTTCGTCGAACATAAAAAAAAATCTATAGAATCTAAGGAAAAACTATAATTAATGGTTTGCGTCATTCTGGTCGTCCTGTTTATAACTCTCACCACATTCTAGAAGCTCTTCCAACAAACTATCGTCTAAATACTCAAACTCAATGACTTCCTTCACACCACCACCGTCTCTTCCACTAAACCCTGACGACGAAGAAGAAGCCACCGCATTCTCTCCGCCACCACCACCACTTGGACCTTCCGTCGTCATTGGGTATTCATGAGGGAAATTTAGAATGGCCTTGTGACCTCTCATAGAAAAAGCAGCTCTATCATAGGCCCTAGCCGCGTCTTCCGCAGTGTTAAACGTTCCGAGCCAGACACGAGCACCGTGTCTAGCCGAGTCTCGTATCTCTGCCGCGTATTTCCCCCATGGACGCTTCCTTACACCTCTGTATTTCACCTCATTCGTGTTAGACACATTATGTTCCATAAGTTTATCGTTCAAGTTTTATTTTTGCATGTACATGTGTCGATAGTAGTGATAGTTTATTTATACGTGGAGGTAATGTGACTATTGAGAATGTAGTGGATCTTATTTTAAAGCACGTGCGGGTACTCAAAAGTCAAAAGCCTCCTTACTCTAATGAATAAACTGTTTGATCATGGGGTAGTTTGCACCCTAAAAATGTATACGTGCCATTGTCATAGTAAAGAAATGATTTGGATTGGAAAATAAATGGAAAGTACTGGGGCTGATCTGCGTTTGGTGCAATTTCTGGTTATTTGAGGGGCTAAAACAAAAATATTGAATTTGCGAGTGAAATCCAATGAATCTAGATGGTCAAGGTGACGGCTAAGTTGAAAGAAAGTATTTTGTGAAAACTGACCAAAATTGGTTTCAGCCTCTCACTTTTTCGGTCAAGATCCTTTCTGAAAAAAAATAAAAATATTATTATCACGTGCAAACTCTGACCGCACGTGTGATAGATTCTTGTCTTTGAAATTTCAACTTGTCCTTTACGAAATGCATAGAAAGGTGTGTGAATCTTTTAATAGCAAAAACATACTATATACATAAACATATGACTCTACCTAGTATTTACTATTTACTAGGATATAAAATATTTGCGCATACTTACTGTTATTTGTGTTCTTCGACCAAAGTTCCCAAATAATGTCATAAAGTATATTTTGTCCCAAAAAAAATGTCATAAACTATATATAATCTTGACCGCATTGTGATATACAAACGACTGTGATTTTCTTTCTGTATTAAGAAGATAAATAAAACTTTTATTTTCCGCGTATAACTAACTAACTAGATTTGAACCCGCACATCCGTGCGGGTATGTTTTTCATTTTATAAAAATAAAACAAAACCTTTCAAATATATATGATTTACATTCTATTGTTATATATTGTATAATTTTATAATCTTATAATTTTAATTATTTTTATATAATATATTGTTGTAAGTTTTAAAATAAAAAAAATATTCATATTTTTTATATATATATTTGTTGTGAGTTACAAAAATATATGTTAACATTTTTGTATAAAAATATTATATGATTTAAAAACTTTAATATGTTTTAAAAGTGAGTGATATTTATTTATTTATTTGAATAAAACAAATTTTTTAAAATAAAATATTTTTCTTTACCAATTTAATATATTTTATATTCATTTCACATAGCATTTTATTTTAATATAGTGTAGAATATAAGTAAATTATGAAATATAACAATTTTTATTTTAATTAAAATTAATATCAATATTTATATATATATTAATCACGAAATTAAATAATACATATTTTAAAAAAATATTTAAACTTCTTAGTAAGATCTTGTTAGATATTTTCTCAATAAATTTATTACTAATATCTTATTATTATTAAAATATTGCTCCAATTATATATATTTGATTGATTAATATAAATACTTAAATATGTCATATTAATGAGATGGTCCAACATAACTTTGTGTAGTAGATATAAATGGTACTTCTCTTTTAATAGAGAAGATGCATCATTTGCTCTTTAATATTTTTTTGGAACAAATTTGCTCTTTAATATTGTTCCTACAAACTTCAGACTTTTGGATATACTTTGGGTAGCTGTGTGCTTCGATGAGCAGAGCAGAGCCGTGCCTACTAACCAAATTTGAAACATTGGCTAAAGGCTAATTGTTTGCTAAAATTTTATATAGGGAAAAATTTACATAATCGTTATTTAATCACTACAAGAAATAGTTTAATTTCTTGATCTTCATTCATGTTAAAAAATGGTTAAAAACACTCTATTTTGACAACTTTTTGACCAAATAAAATCGTTAGAAAAGTTCAGTCAGAAATTAATTATGGTCAGAAAATGGCAAATTTTTTTGACTATACTAAAAGGTCAGAAACATCTTCAAAAACAAATGTAAGAGAATCATCAAAAAATAATTATCCATTTTTTGATGAACTTTCGACCATTTTTAATGTTGATTTTCTGATTTTTAATTAATAACTTATCGGATTATTAATTTAAATAAATAATAATGGTAATAATAAAATAAAGATAGCGATATATAATGAAAACTGAAGCAATATAAATTAAATAATTAATTTGAAACAAAACAATTGGAGTTTAGCAACATAAAAATACATCCACTGAAAACAAAACTAAAAACGACATAGAGCTATGTTAAAAAAAAACAAAAACAAAATAGAGCTCATTCGTCATATCCGCCGTGCTGTTACTTAATTCATTTGTTCTTCTATAAGTCTTGTCTTTCTCCATAGTCTCAACCGGTCTGTCCTAGTTGTGTGTTTGACAGAAAATAATAAGATAAATGAAAACAAGATTAGAAAGTCATACTTAAAAATCATGCTCGAACTACTCCAGTTAAAAATCTCAATCAATGAAAGTAAGGTTAGAATATTGATCAAGTTTGGATCTATATTCTTTAGAAGGTATGACACTAGATATCAGTCATTTAAACACAAAACATGGATCTAACCTTGCAATGACTAAAGGAACGATGGCAGAATCAAGGCTGAGATGATGTTGATAGCAGAAACACTGAAGCCTTTCCAATGTGACCTGAAGTGAAGAAAAGAGAGGTCTTGATGATGGAGTAGCAGGGAAGAAAAAAAAAAAATCAGAGAAATAGATCAGAAGGACTGGGAAGGTTTGTCAAATTAAAAGGAAACAATACACAAGAAGATGGAGCCGCTTGAGGAGAAAAATTAATAAATGAGATTGAGAAATGAAGTTCTGAGAAGTGAGATCTAGGTTAAACTAAAGATACAGTTAGAAAATGGTATGAATCTGATGACAAGTTTCTAGCCACTTCTTGACCATATGTTTTGGTTAAAACATTCTAACCAATGTCTGCCCTTTTTACTTATTTCATTACAAAGTGATTAGAATCAGCTAATGATTAATTTTATCATTTTTAGTGGTGAGAAATATGGTTAAAATGTGATGTATTTTCTGACCACTTTTGACTAAATGTTTCGGTTAAAGTTTTCTAACCATTTTTTTGTATTCATCACAAAGTGGTCAAAATATGATCATAGCTATTTCTGATCATTTTTGTTGGTCAGAAATGTGGTAAATATGTGATATGTTTCCTTGTAGTAAATAGGTCATAAAGACAAAATTACTTTCTGCAAAGTTAAGCCACCTAAGAATATGGATTACTATTAATATTACTAGAAAATCACTCCGCGCGTAAACGCGCAGAAAATGATGTTTAATTTTTATATATTATAATTTAGTAAAATTTAAATTAATCAATTCTTTCGAATCATGTAATAAACTCATTAAGTTTGATTTAAATAAAACTTTTAATTATAATCTTATATACAAAATTACAGAATATAATTGATGTTTAAAATGTGTAAATTTTAATTATATGTATTTTGCTTAGATTGTTAAGCTATATAATCGTCTTCAATTATTTTTTTTCTTTTTCTTTGTTGCCATTTGACTTCTTCCATTGGTTGTGTTGTTGTATTTCGATTTTTTTGGTCCCGACACGTTTGCACCCTTTCGGTCCCGACACGTTCGCATCCTTTCGATCTCAACACGTCGCACCCTTTCGGTCCTAAACCGTTTGTACCCTTTCGGTCCCGACACGTTTGCACCCTTTCGGTCTTGACACATTTTCACCCTTTCGGTCCCAACACATTGACACCCTTTCGATCTCGACATGGTCGCACCCTTTCGGTCCTGACTTATTCACACTCTTTGGTTTCGACACGTTTTCACCCTTTCGGTTCCAATACGTTCGCATCCTTTCAATCTTGAACCATTCGTACCCTTTCGGTCCTGAACCGTATGCACCCTTTCGGTCCCGACACGTTCGCACTCTTTCGGTCCCGACACGTTCGCACCCTTTCGATCCCGACACGTTTGCACCCTTTCGGTCCTGACAAATTCGCATCATTTCCATACCGACATGTTTGCATTCTATTCATTTATTATTGCAGAAACCATATTAAATTTTTAAAGATCGTTTAGATCTATATAATGAATCAAACATTATATTCAAGAGTACAAAGAATCATACCTATATTAGAAAAATAGAGCACACAGTTTTTTTTAAAACATTGCATCTGTAAAATGTTCATATCCATAATCATATCAACATATTCTGAAGAGCGATGAAATATGATTATTATTATTACATACAAAATAACATTATGTTTGCACCCTTTCAATATGTTCGCACCCTTTCGTAAATATTATGTTCCCCCTCCTTCAAAAATGTTACATTGACACATTTTTGCTGACATTACGTTTGCACCTTTCGGTGACATTATATTCGCACTCTTTTGGTGACATTACATTGACACCCTTTTGATGACGTTACATTCGCACCTTTTCGGTTATGATACATTCACACATTTTTTCTCCTGTATTGTTCGCACCCATTCGGTCCCAAACCGTTCGCACCCTTTCGGTCCCGAAACGTTCACACCCTTTCGACCCTGACATGTTCGCAACCTTTCAGTCCTGACACGTTCACACCCCTTCGGTCCTGACACATTTTTACCTTTTTGCTGACGTTACATTTGCACCTTTCGGTGACATTATATTCACACTCTTTTGGTGACGTTACATTGACACCCTTTTGATGACATTACATTCGCAGCTTTTCGGTTATAATACATTTGCAACTTTTCGCTCCTGAATGTCCGTACCCTTTCGGTCCCAAACCGTTAGCACCCTTTCGGGTCCCGAACCATTCGCACCCTTTCGGTCCCGAACCGTTCGCACCCTTTCGGTCCCGAACCGCTCGCACCCTTTCGGTCCCGAACCGCTCGCACCCTTTTGGCCCGACACGTTTTCACCCTTTTGGTCCTGACACGTTCACACCCTTTCGGTCCTGACACGTTTGCACCTTTTCGGTCCGGACATGTTCGCATCCTTTCGATCTCAACACGTCGCACCCTTTCGGTCATGAACCGCTCGCACCCTTTTGGTCTCGACACGTT